CCCCAAAACCCCAAAACCCCAAAACCCCAAAACCCCTCTCGTTCATACTAAGATTGAATAATTTATGGCTTGGTTTTGTTATTACTTGGGTCATACTTATACTTCGAGATTGATATCCGTGATGTATAAATATCTGGTAAAATTTTAGCAGTGGTTTTGGTAATTTTCCCTCGCCTATCCTTTTTAACAGCTATATAGAATCTGAAAGGAAATTTACCCCCTTGGCAGTCTTTATACCTGTTTATTATCTTATTTTTAAGCATTTTCTGGAACCGTTTCTGGCTATCTAGATAGTTCGAAGGTGTCAGCTTGTAATGTGACCTGTCAACCATCTTTATTGCAGGAGTTTTGCCTGAAAATTACACTAATGAATCCTTACTGTTATGAATAGTTTCCTTGCGCTCTTCTTCACTGAAGCAAGACCTGAGCGAATATACTTTGAACTTCCGGTTTCCAGCTTTCGTCTTCTTTGCTGGAGGAATTCTGTCAAAGGACTTTGAGAGATCTATTAACTTCTCTAGTGGCAGAGTGATCTTATTTAGGAAGTTTATAATCAGAAGGGGATTTTTTAGGCTGAATTTTATCAATGCTCTTTTCTAAAGTCCTTGAAAGGATAATTTTTCTACGATTCAGGGCAAATTTTCCTTGGTTCCGAGTTTTTGTTCTTTTAGAGTTCATTTTTAGATTAATTGGTGCAATTTTTAATCCTGGTTGTTGTCATGAAAGATCTACAGATTGGTTTTAAAGTGTTACGCTCTTGTTCGGCAATGAGGAATTTGAGACCGAGAGATTAATGGCCTGACTGGCTTTATTACACTTCTCTGGGGTCAAATACTTGCTTGTGTACCTGTGAGTGCCTATTTCTGAGACCTCCAAGACATACCTTTGACAGAAGAGTCGTTAGAAGCCCTACGAGAAAGCCTATTTGTGATAGAGAATCTTGGCTTCCCAATAAGGTTGTACTGCAAACTATTCCTATGGCTTTCTATAAATCACCATTGAGTGTTACCAATGGAGTGACACTTGAATCGTTCCGTAGGAATCTTGTTACTTTGAAGTCTTGTTTTTGGTTTTAATGGTGACATTTATTTTTGGAGTGTAGATCTGGACACTAGGGCCTGAGAAGTATTTCTTGATCTCGTTTACCCTCATCGGTTTGTCCTCCTTCCTAAGCACAATCATGATCAGCCAAGTAATTTATGAAGGGAAGTAATGGCTTACAGCATGTTAAGGAATTTTAGGATCCTCTGATTGGTACTTTCCTTGCTCTGTTTGGGAATTTCGAACATGCTTTGGTAGTTCTGAGTGGGTTCCATTATTGCTGTTTGAGTCCAAATTTGATAAAAATTACAGTGGATGTGGGGTTTTGGGGTTTTGGGGTTTTGGGGTTTTGGG